TTGCATTGTTTTTTATAACACCATGCGCCCATTTTATTTTAGTATAGGTAGTAGTTTTTTTGTCCTACATGGTCATCACATATAATTAATTATCAAAGCAATTTATACAAATATTGTTAAAACTATTTTAATAGAGTAAGTATGGAGTTTCTTACTCATTCTTCTCCATATGACAACTACCTTCTGGAAGGGGCAACTTGTAATTTTTTTAATATTTATAACATGTAATTTTTACATTAAAAGTGCCTTTTTAATAGGCCTACCTAATTGAAATAAATGATTAGACTGTGTTTTTTATTTTATTTATTTATTCATAATTATGTATTTACCGTGTATATTTGCGGATGCTTGGCGGACCCATGCGACTTCTTCAATACAAAGAGTCCCCTCGTGAGTTTAGAGTTATGTGCTGCGATATTGCGGGGTACTCCATTGTGAGGAAGTTGCATGGATCTGGTTAGCGCTGCGCCTTCATAGGTTCTTATGTCATTTTCACACATGTATATCCTTTCTATAACATATTTTCATAAGTATCTGATTTTCCTCCCTGTAACATGTAGAGCAACAATAAAATATAAATTACAAACTTCTCAAACAAACCTGTTTTATTGATTTTAAAACCAAGACTGATGTCTTGTGCTTTTGTATAAAAATTATTATGATTGATGTGACCTAAGAACTTTTACATTACAATAAAAAGCGTACCTTTCTCAAAGTTGAGCGATTGGAAAAATTTGAATGAAATAAATCATTCATCAATCACAAAAGCTACAAACATTGAAATATGTCAAAAACGCTTCTTTCTCAGTTCGCCCTCCTAACTTTGAAGTACTTCAGACAATATACCCAGCGTAACTGCATAATGACTTTGACCCATTAAATAATTTCGCAAGAGTCGAAAGGCACACAAATTAAAGAGCTATTCTAATAAATGGCATCTTAAACGGTCTTCGCCTTAAGCTAGGGCTGTGATTTATGAGTTTTAATGCGAGCTCGAGTAGTACAGCATTGTTTGCGAAAAGTATTTTAATTGCAATCGTTGTTTCTTCAGTTACGTAAGAAGTTTTTATTAAAAATTATGCAGTGATTTATTATTTATTCATACGTTTGTTTGTCGTGTACGGTTTAAGAACAAATAAAATCACAATATATATATATAAAATTATACTTCGCTTCACCAAAACGGCTCGACCGATTCTTATGAAATTTTACTTATTACTTATTTACACTTCGTTGCAAAAAAATTTATTTGCGTATTCAATAAGTTTGAGAATCGGCTACTGTTTATCTTTCAAACCCCTAAGTGATAAGGAGTGTCCACACCAAATTTTTTTTTGTTTTATTGTTTTTGTTTTTATTTTTTTATGATACAACATACAAAAAATCCATACAATCCCTAATTTTCACCGCTCTACGATCAACTCCTTTTTTTTTATAGTATATAGTTATTTTTATTGAACTATTTTTTATTCAGACAGTAAGAAACAAATAAAATACTACAAACTTTACTTTTATATTCCTTATTAATTTTATCTGAAGTGATAACCCTTTCTCGCGATAATATCACATCAGTTTATTTATGGAGTGTCTGCGGCACACAGATGGCTAAGTTATGTTGCGAGGCGTCCCTTCTGATACCAGAATGGATGAACGTATAAAATTTTGTCTGAACAAAATCGAAATATTTGTTGGAAGTACTATGTGATTTTTATAGAAAATAGAACCATATTTTAAATCTTAAGTTTCGTAACTTAAGGCAATCTAATAATGATAACACTCAGATTTTATTAAAATAAATCAGTGGCGCTACAACCTTTTTAGGTCTGGGCCTCACATTTCTGTATCTGTTTCATGATCATTTGTCTAATAGGCAAGTAGGTGATCAGCCTTCTGTGACCGACACACGGCGTCGACTTTTTGGTCTAAGACAAGCCGGTTTCCTCACGATGTTTTCCTTCAACGTTCGAACGAATGTTAAATGCGTACATAGATAGTCCATTGGTGCAGCCGGGGATCGAATCCACGACCTTAGGGATGTGTGTAGCACGCTGAAGCCACTAGGCCAACACTGCTCAGACTTAGAGTCAGACGATCTGCGATTTTCTTACCGCTGACCGATGTATGTGTGAAAATTATGGTAAAAAAAATTCAGTTAGTATAGATAATAAAACTGAATTTGCAAAGGAAGATTTTTGCTATACATTTAGGCCAACAGTTGTAAACCACAAACCTTCAAACCAATCAGGAGTAATATCCTCAGAAGCCTCCCAATTTCCCGGCCATTTCCCCGAGCACACGTGCCAACGAATTTGTTGTGATAATATTTGGGGAATTGAAAATATTTAGAATGTTACGGGTGTTATATCTTTACGTATATGAGTTAAAAGAAATTGTTTGTCGAATTTAAAAAATATAAGGTACTAGCTATTTTTTGTTTTGAAATGATGACATTGTGATAAAGCTTTATCTACAGCCTAAGCCAGATTAAGTCAAATTCGTGGAATTCTGGCATTATTTAGTTCGATCACGTTGTTTGCACTTGTGACACACTTGGACTACGTGAAAATAGTACGGAATAATTTAAAACAACATTCGGAAATCGCATGTTGTTAAAATAAAAACATTATTTCATTAATAAGTTGATAAGAAGGTAACTAAAACATTGTTAATCAAAAGTAAAAAAAAAAAAAAAAAAAAAAAAAAAAAAAAAAAAAAAAAAGGGGGGGGGGGGGGGGGGGGGGGGGGGGGGGGGGGGGGGGGGGGGAAAAAAAAAAAAAAAAGAAAAAAAAGGGGGGGGGGGGGGGGGGGGGGGAAAAAAAAAAAAGAAAAGGAGGGGGGGAAAATTTTTTTTTGGGGGGAGGGGGGGAAAAAAAGGGGGGGGGGGGGGGGGGGGGGGAAAAAAAAAAAAAAAAAAAAAAAAAAAAAAAAAAAAAAAAAAAAAAAAGGGGGGGGGGGGAGGGGGGGTGGGGGGGGGGGGGGGGGGGAAAAAAAAAAAAAAGAAGGGGGGGGAAGGAGAGAGAATTGGTTTTTAGGAGAAAAAAAAAATTAAAAGGTTGAAAAAACAAGGTATAATATTTTATTAGTTATATATATATATAAATTATTGAAAAAACTTTTATGTTTTACTATTGGGCTCGTGGTATAAATTTATTAGTTATATATATAAACGCATGACTTGGGAGTACAAGTGCACAGGCGCTAATTAAAGATTTAAGTTGTCGTCTGGTAGATAATACCGCATTTCTTTTTTTAATTATTATTATTATTACTACTATGTAGATTAGGATTACATATTGTCTGTTGGAGATCAATATCAATAAAACTTAAATAAATCAGTGAAATATTAGTTTTTAGACATTATATGAATAAAGCATTTGTTATTTTTTTGGACTGCTGGCATTTCTTCAAAGTCGAGACTCTGCAAATGTATGTCGAAAGCAATAAATAAGTTTTTAACATATATACGTAGTTCTAATTGGTGACTTTGAATCTTACCGTGACTGATAATTAGACATACTTCATAGTTTATTAGTCTATCACTTTTGTGAAGCGAGTATTAGAAAACTGTATAAAAATTGTTCCAAGCATAAAACCTCTTTAAGCCTATACTTAGAGTACTTTGCAAAGCTCGTTTCGTGAAAGGTAGAAAATCTGAGTATTGCCTTTGAATTACTGGTATCTCTGGCTTCAGACGCTCTATTGTTAATGGATTATGCCTATTGTTTTGATATCCATACAAAATAAGGCGTACAAAAGTCACAATATTTATTAATAAAAACAATGTTAATTGAGGAATACGATATTGGTGTCTCGCTCTGTATATATACTTTTAATGAATCACTATTCGATAACTATTAAAGCAAAATTTAGAAATATATTAAAGTACTAAAGTATACCTTTGTGTAAATTTTTATGAGTTATATTTTTCAGGATTCAAAACCAAATTCTTTGTTCAATCCAATGAGCTAGTGTACTTTTACAATAGGGCGTAATAAATTCAATTATATTCCATTTATAATCGAAGTACTTTGTTGAGTAACTTAAGAGCCTAAAAGGATACGTGGGCGATGAGAAGTGTTTACGTGACTTTTAATATTACAAATACTTTAAAGAAATACTACTAATACTGCTTCATTGAATTCATATAACTGATCCGGATGTATTCGGTGTAACCAATACTACATTCCTAAGCAAAAAATACTAGTATTTTTATTTTATATATATATATTGTTTATTTTTTAACCATAATTGTCATATTTTAGAAAAGTTAGCTTGTAACATATACTGCACTTCAATAAATAAATGATATAAGAAATTACTTGTAATAAAGTTAAATAGAAAAAATGACTTCAAGTATCTTAAAAGATTTAGGTTCTTCACATATATTAAAACATTTATTTTATCAGAACCGATTTTGATGAATCATTCCCTAAGTGGCAATGCACTGGTTTGAATCAATCACCTGGACTTTGTTTCTGAGAAATTTATAGACACATAAATACACTACGCACTCGGAAGCCTAAATAAATCATCATACTCAAGTATTATGAAGTATAATATGACATACGTATACAGGTCAAGCTAAACCTTCTTTTTAGAAGGCTAAAAATAGAAGACGTTATTTATTCGTTTGGTTAGAACTTGATTTTATGGCTTCGAAATGAAGTGTAAAGATAAGAGATGAGGTCTGTGAAGGGTTTGTAAGGATTACGGGACATCTGATAGCGTTTGTTCCTTGAGTCAAATCTACTGAAACCCTTTTGGAACTCAGCGCCTCTATGTGTTGAAGTGATTTGAAAATTGAGCATTGTTATCTTTTTTTAGTTATAATTTATATTATTTTTCTTTATGATAAAAGACGCGAATAAACGACAAGTATGTAAGATGTGAAAGAATGATTTAATGAAACTTTGAAATAGGCGTTCAGAACAATATCAAATTTGAAGATATATATATTTTTGCCGTTTATTATTTTCCACCTGCTCTGCGGTCATGCCAGCTTAAGTGCTTGTCTGAGGGAAGTGAGATGTGGCTAATGTTTCCACACAAGTATTATCCCATACCAAAGTCCGTCCCATCCTCCAAGGGATGAAAGACCCATCCGGCCGCTTGTCATCGGCCCTAGCAATACCTGTCGGCTCCAAAATGGAGAGTACCATGGCCTCCATTGCCATACCAAGGCCACTTACTTTAATGCTACAGGGACTGTTAACGGGAGTACATTTCACTCCTAAGCGAAAGCGAATTGTCTGCTGACAATAATTCGAAGTGATTCAGGGTCTAAAAAGGTGCCAGTCTTTGGCGAAAGATGAGCACTAACCCAATGATCAGCTTCTTCATAACCCACTGATACCAGCTTTGCGCAGTCTATAATTGTGATTTTTAATTTAGATTTACAAATAGTTTCATGCTTTGAAAGTTGACTTTAGAAGGCAAATTCAAACCTGATGCTAACCACGGTTTCTCGCTTCTTCTAAATCCACAATGATGTAGCTTGCAGAATAAGATCTGAGGATTTCAACTACTAGACTGCTAGATTTGTGAACAGATGAGAGAAACGATAGAAGAGTTGCACTTGTTATCTTACGTACCTACTTCCAATCCGCCAAAGGGTATACGGAGCGATGTTTTAATGCAATAATGAGTTGCAAGACAAATGATTCCAAAGAATTTTTTAAAAGATTATCCAAATCAGTGCACATACTGGAATAAAAAAAAAAGAACAGTGCGGAGTGGGATCTTTAAATATTGATATTGATGCATGTATTTTTCAAATTTTCATATTCTTCAAAAGAATAATTGAAAATCTTCTTATAATCTTAATTATTAATGTTAAATTCAGTTAAGATAATAAGTTAAACTTAAAGTTACTTTATGCCAGTATTTATGTAACTAATAGAGTATTCAAACTGCGCACTTGTTTACTTCGTCTCGCGAAGGCGTGGAAGGATTTCCCGAATAAAACCAAGATTGCTCTATTTTTCCCACTTATTTTGCGGTGCTATTTTGTTTACGAAATAGACAGCCGTTTTACAATTCATACTACTATTAGCATAACGACCTCGGCACTATACAACATTTTGTTTATGTCTGTTTTATAAATATATAAAATATCTAACATATTCATGCATACTGGGTTACACACGGAATGATAGGAAAAGAGCTGCAGATCTCCGAAGGATCACCAACTGGGAAGACGCAATGACCAGAGCCAAAAAGCTTAAATGGAGATGGACAGGACACCTGCTCAGAGGCCAGAGAGCAAAATGGTCGAAAAAAGTCACTCAATGGACACCTCGCTACAACACCAAGCGAAGAATAGGAAGACCATGCGCGGTGGGCTGATGACTTTAAAAAAGCCACCGGTCCTCTATGGCAGAGACTTGCCAGGGATAGGAAGCACTGGAAACAGCTGGAAGATGCCTTTGTGCCACAAAGGCAAGCTGTACAAGAGGACAGCTGTGCAATAAAACCTTCTTAAAGAACTTTTTTTTTGTTAGTTGAAATAAAGGCTTTGAAATTGAAATTCATGCATTACATCGACTGTAATAGACAATATTAAAACACTTAGATCGAAGCTTAGAAGCCTGGAAAGTAAGAACTGTGTTTGAAAAACCTATAACGTCCTTAATATGTAATATTAAGCAAAATTAATTACGTCTCGTTTCTGTAATATTATTGAAAATTTCGTTCTTCGTTATTATTAAATTATCATACGGTAGACCCTATGTAAGACTGTGATTACACGTTTATTGCGGAAATTGGGTCGTTTTTGGATACACACCGGTTGAATATAATATAACACAATCATTAAGAACACTGAAAATGTTCATTAAAATTTAAAGTTATTTAACATACTATAACACAAATAGAAATATTTTTTGATAGGAATGAGAATTATAAAATAACACTTTCATATTTTTAGTAAATGATGTCTGTAGCATCAGTTAAAACCACTGCTATCAAAGAATTGACACAATTATGTGATAAGAACTTAATTGAGTAAGTCAATACTCACATTGAATTTATATCGAATATCGTTAATATATAAAGGAAACATATTCATAATTTACTTTGTGGTATCAAATCATAATATTCTTAAAAGCATTCGAGTTAATACGCTTAGCTAAAAACGATATGAAAGGAAAAACATAGGGGTTGAAAGTGTTCCTCTCGAGGGTCGTAAACGCCTATTACAAAGGGATCGGTATAAAAGTATCGTAGATAATAAATAAAACACTGTGATGTATTTCTGATGGAGGTTCTATGGGACTCGATCGAGTGGGAAGGGTTATTGTTTTCTATGTTTTATGATATGTATTCCTATCTCAGCCATCCCACGGGATGCTTCTTTTGTTTTTGCTTATCCGCTTTGCTTAGCCGATTTAGACTTATTAATATGAATATATATGTACTAGCTGGTGCCCGCTACTTCGTCTGCGCAGGATTAAAATAATATTTCTCCAAATGATGTAGCGTGAAACACATGTTGTATCTACTTTAAATACCTGAAGCGATAAATGTATCTATTTTCATTTAGGAACAAATTTATTACTACCAAATGTGCATTTGAAATAAATTATCAATTTTTATTGTAGTTATGGGTCACTCTTGTAGGTGTAAGTCTCCTGCCTGTTGACCCTGATATATACTAAAAAAAGATCATCTATTTTCATTACACATTACATATGTTAAACCTAAGTGCATTTTGGAAGGGCGCACCCAGAATTATCGCAGGTGGTAGATTTTTTCCTACTTACTTGATATTTTGAACAAATTAGACAATATCTTTATAATGTAGCCTATGGGTTATTCTGATGTATCAGCTATATTATTGTAAAGTTTCAATAAAATCCTTTTAGTAGTTTTTACGTGAAAGAGTAACAAACATCCATCCATGCTAACAAACTTTCGCGTTCATAATATTAGTAAGATGTCATCCGCCTTTAGCGGGTTATCGGTAAGTTTTAAAATCATGAGATCGCCAATACATGGTCACTTAAACCGTTCCAGTAAAATATCAATGGTATGTTGCTGCTATTTAGAGCAATCTTGTGCCTGATCTCGCAATATCTTGGCCATGTCACACATGGCCGCTATAGCCGAATCCATCTGAAGAACTTTAGGATGCACGCTGATAAAGGTTTCACTTTTATATTACTCTTGATTCAAATCAAATTATAATTATAAATATTCACGTACGTGACGATATTAAATGGCAATATGCAAAACGATTTAAAACCGCTGATATATTAGTCGGCCGTGTTGGTGACATATCACTGATTCGTGCTTGTCGTTAAAACTATAGTTTTGTTGATTTTTCACACAATATGTTTCAATTTATTTTTTGCATATAAATGCGATCGCATACAATGACTATTGATTAAAAAATTCAATCCAAAAGCTACATATACCATTTTTAATTAGTATTTAAATAATTATGGGTTTGACTAGCCATATTTGCATCAGGTGTTGGTGACTAATCAATCAAACAAACTTAACAATTATTTCACAAAAACTAATTAATAATTACAGTAAAATTTAGACGTAACTTGGATAGGGAGACGCGCGCAGCATGTTATAGTTGGACCCAGGAACAGCATTAAGGGAATCACTTATACAGTGAAAATAGAAAGAAAAACCTAAGTAATAATACAATATCAGTAGTTGTAAGTGACGACCGCTAATAGATAAATTTAACACGACCAAAGCTGACCACTGAATTTTTTGCTTGCTTTTTCTACTTTATTCTGTTACTAACATAATTTTTTTTTATAGCATAGGGGGACAAACGAGTCTACGCCCAAAAGGAAAGTCATCGCAGCCTATGGACACCCTTTTTAGTGGGTGCGTTGTGGGCCTTTGATGAATATGTAGAAAAATAGTCACCAACTAACTATTGGAAAACATAAGGAACCGCCCGTTGCCTAATAACTTTTGTAACCTACTTACTTTTTGGTTTTTTTCTATATGTATTATTATGTGTATTATGGCAATGAAGTATAAATAAATAAGGAAATAAATAAATTAAATCAAATTCGACAATGACTTTCTACTTAAACAAAAGTATACAAAAGCAAAAACGGACAGTTTTAAAGTGTTTTAGGCTGATATATGTATATCTGTATATCCTTAATGATAAGAGCAATATTAGACAAGAAATTATTAATAACCATTAGCCATTTATCTTTATGATAAAACACAAAAGAAAAACTAGATTTATTACTGATTGAATATACTTAACCTACAGTACTATTCAGCTTAATAAAATCTCTTTGTTCGGGGAGAGAAAAGGTTTACTCAGGCAGAAATTATTATCTAACGTTGAATAAAATCTGTGATACTGAGCGAAGCATACCTCGAGTGGCGACGGTAAAAAAATACGGCAGATAAATATTAACATTATCTATCTCACTATTTTATATATTCAGATGGATTTTGGTAAAATCTAATAAGATTTTCGGAATACGGAATATCAAATATTGCGAGACTATCATCCAATTCCATTTAAAACGAAAATCTCTGTTTATGTAAATTTAATTGGAATAAATAAATGTTATAATTTAGAAAATGTACTTATGGCTGTTTAAATAGAAATAGTGCAGGGGATCAAATAAAGTACCTCATCTTTAAGGAAATCGAGATAATTATTATTTACCAGACTTAGTATGCCCTTCCCATTCCTGAGGCTGTGCATACTTAACTGTTAAATCAGCTAATTTCAATTAGGTCGTTCGATGTATTCGAGAGCGGCGATCTTCAGTAGCGTCAATCAAGAAAGTCAGTAGTTAAAAGTAAGTCAGTAAGTAAAAATGTAATTAGGCGCATACGTTTTTATTTGCTAAATATTTTTGAAGTGAAACTTTTTTTAGGCGCATGAGGGTAAAATTTCTAAAAAAACGTCACGACGATGTGCAGCGTCAAAGTTAAGGGAGAGAGCGATTGAGAACGATTGATACAGAGAGTGAGAAGGGTGAATTAACTTATAGAAATTCTATTTTTTAAATTAAAATTTCGTAAAAAGAATTTATGAATCTCAAATGACGTCAAAAACAAATGCCACGTATTTTTATTATCGAAGAAATAAATTTAACAAATATAAATTTATTATTTGTGTTAATTTTTAACACTTAAAATTTAAATGACAATTAAATTTATTAAATTCCTAACATATCTTCCTTTTTCTCTCCCTCTAAGTCTCGTAAATCTAATGTTTTAGATTTGTATAAATATGAACAAGAGTTAAAAATTAGTTTGCCAAAGAAGTTTCACTTCTGACATGTGCACTTTGTACGCACACACTTTTTTATTATTATAATTATACGCACTAATTTAAAGAA